AAAAATACATATAACCAAACTTAATATACAAATAAATCTGATTGAAGAGGCCAGCAAAAATTCCATAATATAAAGCATATTGTAATGCTACCCTAAAGGACTGCCATTCAAATAATATTTTATGAAATATGTGTAACAGGGCATTAGTATTCCTTCCTGAAATACATAACTTTGTGCTATTTACCAAGTTCTCAATATGTGCTGTATGTCCAGGAAATAGGAAACAATAACATATCTTAATGACATAGAAGAATGAGCCTAGGATCTTTCTTAAAACAATCTTACTGTAATCTGATCATTCTCTGGTCAGTTAGTGTGGGCAATGTTATAAATATTTCAATTATTCTTTAGGTGATGATGTTTATAAGCAATGGCTTTGCCAGAAGAGGTCCTTTTATTTAAACTGAATTTGTAAAATTTCTTAACTCTTTGGTTTTTGCTGCACAGCAAAATTCCAGATTCCATTTTGGATAGTTGCTTGGTGAAGCATTATACACGTTCTTCATCAAATGCTTAACCTAATCTGAAATGACATGAAATATACCCAAGTACTGCTGTACTTCCAGAAATAGAAGTATACTAACATTGTGGCACCAATATTTTGAATGTAGTGACAGGTTTTAACATTATTGGACATTTGTAAAAGAAAATTTTTGAAATAATGAGCCCAAACAGAAGGAGATCATATATATATGTTATACAAAATTGTAGTATAAAATGCAAATCACTTAGGTCACTTATCTGAGCCCAACCCAACTTCTCATGAAAGCTTGGAAAGGATAAATTTATGAACCTGAAATACTATCAGTCAGACTTGCTAGAGGATGAGAAAAGGAAAGAGTCTTTAGACCTAAGAGCAACTGCCTTGCACTAATCATATCAGGGGACATTAGGAAAACATGATCTTAAAAAAGAGGAGATACAACATTAGTGAATATCTATGCAATGGGAAGAGGAAACCAGCCCTCAGAAAACATAGTGAAGGAACCAGAGTTCCCAGAGCAAACCTAGGAAAGTTGGAATGTTGGAGGTCCTTAGAAACAAACTTGTGCCTATTTCATGGTCTAGTTCAGTTCAGACCAGAATCTCAAGTTTTTTCATCCACTAGATGATCATTAGAGAAGTATGCACCCTTCTAGCATGCTAGGCTCCAAACTCACCAAACTACAAGTACACAATAAACCATAGCGAGTAGCATGCTTTAGCTCCAAGTAACTTTTAAGCCCATCTCAGGTGCATAAAATACAAGAACATCTATTTTCTCACACATCAAGAAGTCCAGAAGTTGTGAGAGCCTCAGTCTTGGTGTCTGCATGATTCCCTGCCTTTTTCTAAATGTTGGATTCATCAAGTTGGTAGAATAGTACCGAGCTTCACATCCAGGCAAGAAAACATCCAGAGGGAACACAAGGCCTCTCTTCTACTGCTTTCTTTTAGGAATTGGGAAACCCCTCCCAGAAGCCTCCCAATAGATGTGCCCTTATGTTTCCATTACACTTGGGTTATATGCCCATTCATTAATTAGCCACTCACCAGGAGGGTGGGGTTATGCTGATTGGCTTAGAGAGTTCAGGATCCACTCCCGGAATGGAATGGGGCCACCTACCAGAGTAGAATGGAGGAGGAATATGTCCCAAAACCCAAACCCGGATTCTGTTGGACAGGAACAAGGAGAGAATGGACATCCAATTGAGTGGACAACCAATAATATCCTCATAGACCTCGATAAATATTATGAATTGAAAAGGTGAATAAATAAAAAAGAGGTATTCACTTTATCTTACTGGTTGTGTCTTCTTTTTTCCTAAATAGAGACTGGTTTAAGATATTCACTAATGTAAGAACAATGCCGGTCATGAATTCAGATCATTTTTAACAAAATGTTATAATTCTAAATATTTGTATTCATATATCAATATTAATGGTTGTCACCACAATTCTCCATACCATGTCTACAGTTGGCATAGTATCTTGGTGGTGGTCAACATAGTGTAATCTAGTGTAAAATCTAGATTTTAAAGAAAACTCATAACCAACATTTTACATATGAATTTTGATGAAGTACCGTGATGGTACTATTATGCCCATTAGAGTTTGGGATCTGATAAGAATTTAATTTTTGATGGAGTATGAGTACTCAAGCAACTTGGCACCCAATTACCAAACAATAAGCAAACACATAAGCTCTTCACTTATCCCACAACCGCCTAAAACCTGTTTCAGGTATGATACCCTTTTAGTGTTATATGAATTATACAAGTCTGTTTCTTTAAGAACAGAGAAAGTGATGGTGCACCTGTTTCAGGTATGATATCCTTTTAGTGTTATATGAATTATACAAGTCTGTTTCTTTAAGAACAGAGAAAGTGATGGTGCTTTGGGAAAAAATACAGTTAGTTTGTTGTGAATAAATAACCAAGCACAAGAAAATAATTTAGCCTTTTGTTGCATTCCTTCCCTGCTGCATCCCCTTCAAAAACAAAAGAAAGTAAAATAGTTGCTGGTGCATGCAATCCCTTCCTATATGTATAATGCATTTGCAAGTTAATTATGTGGTAATTCAATGAGCAGTTGGAGGTCAGACCACTCCCAGAAAGGAGCAAACTATTACAAAATCTCTAATATAACTCCCCCTTTATACATACTGCAAACATTTGTACATGTGCTTTCCTTCAAAGCTGAACACCACTAAACACCAGGAGTACACACTAAAAACAAAGATTAGTCACTTTTGCCATGCCTGATGGTTTCCATCTTTTTCTAATCAGAGGTCACACACTGTGACCCAGTGTAATTTTTGGCAGAGTGTTTAAAGGAGTTCTGAACTTGCATGCCCTTGAGTGGTGCGTGCATTTTCCATTTCAGCTGTTCGCTGCCTGGGCCTTGAAGGTATTTGTGTTTGTTCTCCTAGAAATGATTTCAAGCTTATGAGACTTACACTTATAGTTAATACTAGAAGCACTTTCATTTTTTATTTTCCACTAAGTTAGTTAAATAAAAGACTAAAAATGCGATAAAATATTGAAATATTTTCATAGACGTGGCTGTTTAAAGATTCAGTGCTGTGAATCTGGATTACTGTTTGACAGGCAGATAGACTACTGCTGAAAACTCAAATTATTTTTTTTATTAAGCTGGTGTTTCAAAGTCTAAATTCAAAATGCTAAGACTGGGTTATAAAAGTATAATGAACATAATACAAGCTGTTGGAAAGCCAAATTTTTGCAAGTTGGAAAAAACCTCCTGACTAGCTAACTGTAATGATTGTCCAGGTTTGAACTTTAGTTTAGTCTTGCTCTTTTGCTTGGAAAGTGCTTGGAGCCCCACACTCGGGCCCCACTACAAAGGAGGGGGGTGGGAGGATGCTGCCCCCAACCCTAGCCTCTAAGAGAAGCTTCAAAGACCATATTTTGTGATGCCGAGGCATGTTTCCTGCATTTGGGGACACAGTGGACTGGTGCCCGACACTTCCAGAGGAAGTTAAATCAGTTTGGGTAGCAACTGGCAGGTACCAACCCCCTTGACCTCTGACTACAGGACAAAGGTGTGTGAGTCCTGGGAACTAGAGGCGAGACCACTGTAGGAATGTTTCTCTGGGGCACTTTACAAAGGATTTTGCCCAACGGGGTAGTTTGTCAAGGCCAGGAGACCCTCAGGTTGAAGTAGCACTGGGATGAAGGTGAGGTGAGGTCAGTAGTGGCCAGCGAAGAGGAGTTGGTGGTGGAAAAGCCTAGTAGGGAGCTTCTGAAAACCCCACAAAGGGAAGAGTTAACTTTGAATGTCTGTTAGTACCAGGGGCTACCAAGCAAAAAACTGTATTTCTCCCTTACCTTTCCTCTACCTCCACACCACCTGATTCCACACCAAACCTGGAGAAGGCTGGGGTGGAGATGAGAGGCAAGAGAAATAGCCAGCCACATCTCGCTAGTTAATAAGAAAGGCAGGTAGCCATCTGCACTGAGCCCTAACAAGATGGGGGGGTCTTCATTTGTGAATGAAGATTGATAGTTGTATTAGTCCATTCCTGTAACTTATAACAAAATACTTGAAACTGGGTGATTCATAAAGAAAAATGAAATTTATTGCTTACAGTTTCTGAGCCTGGGAAGTCCAAAGTCCATCTGGTGGTGGCAACAGTGACCCAGGGGTATCACATTGAAAGATGGTGGAAGTAGAGAGAGCAGGGAGACCTTCCTCTTCTTTTGAAGCCCTCAGAACCATGCCCTTGACCACCATTTTTAATCCATTCTTTACTGCACGGTCCTACAATCCAATCACTTCTTCAAGGCTCCACCTTTCTATTACTATACTAGGATTTCCTACCCTCTTAACAGTCACAGTGGGGACTAAGTTTCTAATACATAAAACTTGGGAGACAATTCAAGCCCCAATGAGTTTTAGGGGGGCATAATTCAATCCACTGCAATAGTTGACTAACATATTCCCATTTATGAACTGGAACTATGATTATGATTCAAATGGACTATAAAATTTTATATGCATAAGAGAGATGAGAAAAGTCATGAGACTGCCCAAGTTTTCTTCCAGGAGACTGGAAAGTAATAGTTTCCACTGCCAGTTTTGACAGGACATGGAAAACAAAAGTAAAATTGCAATCTGATAGCACCTCACAGGTTGTTCTTATTCAATATGTCACTTTTATGTATATATATCAACATACACACACACACACGCACAAGGGTACTTCAAAAAATTCATTGAAAAAAATAATCAAAGGGTAATCAAAATCTTTCCATGATCTTTTTGAAGTCCCTTCATATACATATATATGAATGTCAGGTATGCATATATGTTATCAGTTATATCTATATACCAGATTTTCATGTATATATACACCATATATGTTATATACAGGTTTCTTACCTAAATTTAAATTTTAAGTAGAAAATATTAATACTTTTAAAGATTAGCTCTACTTAAAACATGAAATTAAGATAGTAATTTAATGTTAGTAATTTAAAGATAAAATATAATACTACCTTGTTATGATGAAGCCATAAGTATTTTAATTTTTTAAACCTAGCAAGATCAATGACTTCTGTCAGTTCTCTGAAAAGAAAAACGATGTGAACATTAGCAACAATTAATTCACTCATGGGTAAGGCTGGACATACAGTTAGTATTGCTTGGGAGTAAATGGAAAGGCCTCTCTCTTTGTTCTTTCAAAATTGTTGGCACACTTATTTCCTAATTTCTGGTTTTTCATCATTATAACTTCATTCACTTGGATTAAGATTTTGTGAGCTAGTTAAAACTAATACTTAAGGGCTGGCCTGGTGGCGCACTGGAGAAGTGCGCCGCTTGGGAGCGCCGCGGCGCTCGCTGAGGGTTCGGATCCCATGTGGAGACCGGTTCCCGCTCACTGGCTGAGTGCGGTGTGGGCGCAACACCGAGGGTTGCGATCCCGTTGCCGGTCCCCGGTACGGGCGAGCTACACCGAGGGTTGCGATCCCGTTACTGGTCAGTAAAAAAGACAAAAAGGAAAACAAACAAACAAACAAACAAAAACTAATACTTAAAAGAGAGCATTTTTTAAATCACATTTGAAGAAATTTACCTCTTTTATAATTGAACTTATTGGGATTTCAATTAAAAACAAATTTTACTGGGGAGAGGGCAAAGGAAAACATGTAAGTGAAAAAGACAGTGGACTTTGACGTAAATGTGGAAAACACAACTGGCTGCTGTTTCAATATTGTCTTCAAGGTTCTTACTTTAGGGTCGATCTCTGATCTTGGCCAGACGGGACTTAAGAGGTGGAAAATGCAGGACACCAAGAGACAGGGACTGAGTAATGTGCTTTATTCTCCCTTCATTGTTTAATAGTTATAGGGTCAAAATAATACCCACCCTTCTTGAGCTCTGTGGGCCTCTAGCTGTCCACATGGCCCTTGCTGCTGACTCACTCCACAGGAGCAGGTGCAGGACGGGGAGAGGGAGCTGTCAGCAGAAAGGGCAAAGCCGGTGAGGCTAGTTGGCCATTTGACTTACATGGCCTGGAGTATTCAGATCTCTTCTATTTTGAGGGCAGAGATTGTGGGTCCCAAGTAGGTATACACATATGTCTCTGTTTATTTATCACACTTTTGTAGGACACATTTTGTGTGCCAGACACTTTTCCAGGCACTCAAAAAATACTAACGTTAATTAGTATTACATATATTAACTCACTTATGGGAACATCCTCTTTCTTTTAAACTTGGGACACTGAAGGACTAATATTTTCTTAACTTTTATAAAAACATTCATTTTTAAAGCATGCAAACAACTTCTCTAAGCAAAATAAATCTTTCTCACCAAGTTTTTATATTGAAAAACTTCAAACTGAAGAAAAGTTGAAGAAATGGTACAAAGAACACTTTTTAATATATTGCTACATTTATACTCATTCTATCTAATTAATATATCTACTGGTTGATTATTTTCTTGGAGAATCATTTGAAAATAAGCTGCAGTCTTATTATTGCCAGCCTCTCACTACTGAATAGTTCAGCATGCTTATCCCCCAACTTAGAATATTACCAATGTAATGCCTAAGAAAATTAGATTTAACTCAATATCATCTAATATGCTGTTCGTATTCGAATTTCCCCCCCTAACCCTTCATTTCTTTATAGTTTGAATGTTTCAATCCTGAATCCCATCAATATTCATGCATTGTGTTTTCAGTCGATATAACACTTTAGTCTTATATATATATATATATATAAAATATATATATATATATTTTTGCACAGCTGGCAGGTAAGGGAATCTGAACCCTTGACTTTGGTGTTATCAGCACCATGCTCTAACCCAGTGAGTTAACTGGCCAGCCCTAGTCTTTTAAAATTTAGATTAGTCACCCTCCTTCTTTTTTCTTCCTTAACATTGACTTTTTGAAGCTAAGATAGTTGTCTAATAGAATGTCCACATTCTTGATTTGTCTGATGGCTTCCTAATGACTGAATTCAAGAAAGATCACTTCTCAGTTACATTGGTAGTAATTAACTGCATTGCATCAGGAGGTGAATGATGTCAGTTTGCCCCACTCTTGATGAAGCTAAATTTAGTCATTTGGTTAAGGTGGTATCTGCCAGGTCTCTCCCCTGTAAAAGTACAAATTTTATCATTGAAAAGTAATATGTGGGGCAAAACTTTGAGACCACATGTGTATCTTGGTCCCCAACAATTATTTACTCAATGGCTTTAGCTTCAGTCTATAATCCTTACCTTATTCTAAAGATTTAGGATTATAAAATGATGATTTTTCTAATGTTCTCATTCTCTTTATATTTAGCTGGTATTCTTCTGAAAAGAACATCTGCTCCTTCCCTTCTTTCTCTCATTCATTCTCTTCCCCACCTTCTCTAGAGTTTTTTCTTAATCTGTTATCACTTTTTTAAAAAAAATTCTCAAATCATGCCATACAGAACACTTTTTAAGCAGTTTCCTGTGTCCTTTTCCCTGGCACAACAGAGTATCCCAGGCTCCTCCAAAGCAACTTTTAATAGGAAATTTATGTAGCCTATTTCTGAGGAGGAGCACTTTGACCTCGGTGCCTTACTTATTGCATTGGGCAATGATGATAGTATGTTAACTACATCTGTACCCATGGTAATTAATGAAACAATCATTATACGGCAGCATCAGAGGATCACACGCACCACTTAGAAGATTTCCCATAAAAGTTATATTAATACATTAATACCTAAAGTATTAATTGTGTGAAGTTAGTCATTAATTTGCTTGCAGTAGTAATATGAATATTTCAGTTATTAGATAATGTAATAAAGTGATTCACTTTTTAAGAGTACTTTAACTCTTTCATGTTGGAAGGGTTTATTCTGTACATAACCTGTTCTAAGACAATAACAGCCTGTTACAGTTTAAGGTGAGGTTAATCAAAGACAATGCAAAATAATTCTACTACAAATGGTGGTGATGACTCATGCTGACAATAATATGTCACCATCTTGTCACAGTGTATGCTCTCCCTGACTACTCGGGGAGACATAGATAAGGCACTTTCCATTTTCCAGGGGCAACAGATTTAGGCAAATAACCCAATTTATCCAGTCTATTGGCATCTGGACTGTGAAATACTTTTTGTCACCAGCTGGATTAAATAGTGACTTGGTTTTCTTAGGATATAAAACGGGCCTTTCACATGAAAACACCACTACTTACCCACTATTGGGGGATCAATATCTCTATTTTTTTTCTAGAGTTTTAAACCTATTCTTATTGTTATCTTCTTACCCTAGTGACCAATAACATGCAATTGTCAAAATCACAAAAGGCTTAAAGATGCAATCTTCTGACCACATGACATATTTATTGTTATTGTAAAACTAACTGATCTATAGAAAGTCTCAAAGCATGACCTTAAGTGCATCAGAATTCTCTACCAGACTTGTCCCATACTATAAAATATAATTTCAAAATTTCAAGTTGGTCATCTGTTTATTCCACTAATACTAAGAGATTCTGGGCCATTACAAAGATAAACATGTTTCTCTGTACTAATAAAAATGTTTATTTATAATAAAGGAAATATTTTTATTAAAATATTATCAAGTCACTAGAAATCAAAGTGATTAAATTCGTTGATAAAGTAGGGCATTTTCTTTACATATAAGCTGCATTCCAAGGATTACGTATTACGTTAAAATATGTCAAGCCTATTTTAAAATAGTACATAGAATTCAGAGGCATTAAAAAAACATGAAGGGGGAGAAAGAAGAGTGGTAATAGTGTCATTGCTGTTAAAATGAAAACGGTGGTTGCACTGGGTGTCACTAATTGGCCAGTGAAAACTGTGGTGTCAGAGTCCAATCCTACCCATAATTTCCTCTTCCTTTCATACCTGAGTTCTACCTCAGGGACTGGGATGCTTGATAGAAAAATCTACTTTGTCATCTGCCACCTTGGAGACATTCAAGTGAAATCAAAGGGGGCTGTTGATATAAAGTCGGGGTTTACCTACATACCAGTTAAATCAGTATAGGGGTTATTAGGGGTTATGGCATAATAGAGGTTATTGTTATAATATAGGAGTAGAGTCATTACTCCTAATAATATTAATAATATTAACCATACTATTGCTCACTGAGTGCTTACTGTGTACCAGGCATTCCTCTGACTTTTACTAACAGACCTAATCTTCACAACAACCCTGTTGAATAAGGTGGTATCATTTAACAAAGGGACTGGGGTTGCCAGATGATATACAGGATACCCGGTTACATTTGAATTTCAGAGAAACAACAAATGTTCCAAATACTGTATAGGACATACTTACTAAATAAATTGTGTTCATTGTTTCTCTGAAATTCAGATTTAGCTGATGTCCTATATTTTTATTTGCTAAGTCTGACAATCCTAACAGAGAGGTTATGTGATGTGCCCAAGATGGAAGAGATAGAGCTGGGATTTAAACTCATTCTTGCTCTGTAATCTTTGTTTTTACCCATTTCAATATCTTGCCTCTCCAATTCAAACTGTGTACCCCAACAATTGGTAAAGTAATTAGAATGTTGTTGCCTACCCAGTCCTTTAGGGGATAGTGGAAAAGAACATTTGAATGAATATTTGAATCTATGAAATATTATAATATGATACTCGTCCATTCTTTATGTACAGTATACTTACTTTTGAGAAAGGAACAGCTCAAAGACATCAGAATCCCTCTTGTGGCCACATATCTTTAGCTGATCTTCAACTGCCTGATAACATATAATTAATCTGTCAAACCACATTCCAATGAGCAAAAATACCGAGGCATTTGCAGTCAATAACAATAACGTCTACAAGAAGATCAAACGATAGGTGAATATGGAGGCAACCACTCTAAAATGATAAATTCCAACACTACAATTATATGTTATTTATTCATTTTTGTGGTTGAATTTTATTATCCCTAATCCTGGGCACAGAAGATAATTTATAATCAGAAAAAAATGTGTATGTGTACATATACACTAAAAACAAGTATGAGGTAAGGCACTTTGGTCTTTAAATAATTATTCTTAAATGTTTTTTTGAACACACGGAATTAGTATTTGATAGGTTTCCCATACTTACAGAAGACACTCAATATCAGGGTTGGAGGTGGAGGGAGTAGGATACAATGCATGTTATTATAGAAGATTCTGTTTTATGCCTACCGCATTATGCTTGGCACCCAGTAAGTTCTCAACAAATTTCAGAATTAATAAGTGAATAAATGTCATTTTTCTCTGAATAAATGAATACATATATTTTCCCTTGCTTGGCAAGCAACAGCATGTTCATTTTTCACAAGTCGTTAACATTCTCCCATTGTGGGAATTTTTGGTGGAGAGAAAACAACTTTTATTCTCATAGGCTTTGTTTTGAAAATAAAAACCCAGAAACAGCTACTTAAGTGCTTTACTTTTTCTTCTGAAGGTCCTTTGCTAAATTACAAAATAACATTTATAGGCCAGATGACCAAAAACGATATGGAAAAATTAAAGCCTGTCTATAATTTGCCATGAAAGAGTAAAGCTAACAAGATACAACAAAAGTGAAAAGTATAATTGCTGCAATTCTGGAATTTTGACAAACATTGTAATTATCAGTGTCAAAAGAATCACCAAGTTTCAGCTCGGATTTATGAGCTGTGAGCAGTGAAATTGTAATTGATTTATAAAATTTTGAAAGTGATTTATACAATTTTGACAATGATTTTGTTATTTAGTAGAAGTTAAACTTACTGGGCTGAACAATTATTTAAAGAAGTAAGAAAGGTAGATATCCTAGTGATGGAGACAGCTACAAATTTATAGTCCCAAACTTCCCTTGATTCCTTATTAAGAAGGCTGAATCTAGGAACTTGGAGGATTCGTAGGCTCAGGCTTAGGAATTCCCATCAGGGTATTTGTTACCCTGCTATACAAGATATATCTTAGGCTTGAAAAATGCCATAGAATCAGGCTTAGTCATTCTCATCTGGTTATTTTAACTTAAACATCTTAACTATCAGCCTCTACTATGTACAATAAATCACAACTTTGCAAAGTGTTTGTGTTGTTAAAGGCCAGCAGATTAAAATTTTGCAGCCACCTTATTAAAATTGTAAATGTGCTTTTAACTTGATCCAGCCATTCCACATCCAGCACTGAAAAATACACAGGTGCACACACACAGAAAAATGGGAATGCTGTTGCTCATCTCAGCATATATTGTCTGTGGTTGTGAAATATTGCCATATTGCCATTAATTGGAATATGGGTTAAATTAAGATGTGGCCTCACAATGGAATACTGTGCAATAGTTTAAAAATATAGAAAGATGTTCTTATGGTTAATTTTATGTTTCAACTTGACTGGGCAAGGGGATGCCCAGATAGCTGGTAAAACATTATTTCTGGGTGTGTTTCCGAAGGTGTTTCTGGAAGAGATTAGCATTTAAATTAATATACTGAGTAAAGATCACCCTCACCAATGTGGGTGAGCATCATTCAATCCATTGAGGGCCCAAATAGAACAAAAAGGCAGAGGAAGTATTAATTTATTCTCTCTTCTGAAGCTGGGATATCCATCTTCTCCTGCCTTCAGACATTGGCACTTCTGGTTCTCAGGCCTTTGGGCTTGGACTAAACTACATCACCAGCTCTCCTGGGCCTCCTCCTTGTAGACAGCAGATTATGAGACTTACCAACTACCATGATCG